ACATTTCTGCTAACCTACGTTTGATTTTTTGCCTAATTGTAAATTTTACATTGTTATAATTCTCTTCCGATTCAATATAATAATTTTTTAAATAATTTTGTAATTTATAATTTATACTTATATCTATATTACAATTAAATAAATGTATGTAAGATTGTTACCTTAATTTGACAAAACAGCTTTACTCAGAGTACCTAATACAGTTATTTAATTTTTTTAAAAGTGTGAGTAAAGGAAGCAGTCTTTTTATGCCAATTACTTTAATGTTTTATACTATTATATTTTATCTAGAATGCTAATTCAGCACAAAATCTAATCAACAATTAGTTACAAAGGATACAATAAGAATAACTTTAACAAGTACTTAACAAAATTAGTTTGTTAAATACTTGTTATTCTTGTTGGTACTATTCATAATACCGAAGATATTATCGATTAACTCATAGAAGTCAGATACTTTTTGATTTCCTGTGGGGTACAGTATACATTTTGCGGTACTTTTTGAAAATAATGTTTTCTCTGGAGCGACTTTTTGCCTCTCGTTTTCCTTGACCATTAAATAATTCGGTTTTAGTTTGTGACATAATTTGATTTCTTCTCAATCTCTTTTTAAAACCTCTTTAATAATAACAAAATTTAAAACAGTTCCATCTTCTAAAACAAATCCTTTACCTAAAACGTGGTTTCTCAGTAATTTGAGGCAGAGCGCGAAATGAGACCTCTGATTAAAACAAACTGCACATTTTGAAAAGAACCGAGAACTTGGTCCAGTTTAGAGTCATAGCAGAGTTTTCAATCTATATGCATTTCGTCAAAACTGAGAACGCATATTTTTTCTACAGAATACAAATATTCGCCTCTTTCCTTCTTCAGAGTAAGAACATCACTTTGAATTCTTGAACTACACTAAAATTTAGCGCACCATTTCTTTAATTTGCTAACACTAGGTAAAGATATTCCAGTTTTTTTTTTTCTTAATTTTTTTTTTCCAAAAATCATAGCTTTAAGATGACAGAGCTCTTATGACAATGCAATGTGAAATATCTTCACTAGTCCACTTGAATTTTTTCCTTCTTTTTCAAGTAATGCATTAATCTGCGTCTTTATATAAGAAAAATAGGCTTTAGACGTTTTTCCAAATTCTCCTGATTTGTGCTTCCCCCCCCCCCAAATTTCGCTATTTGAGATTTTAATTTCTGATACCAATTTCTTTGTTAGATGTCGTTCCACCTTCTTTGTCACTGAACAAACATTCTAAAATTTTTCTTTCTCTATTTTTCAATACTTTAATACAATTTCTTAAGGATATTATTTTGTTTCTTCAAATTATCAATGCATTCTTGTTTATCCTTAAACTTAGGGCATTCAGGAATATCTATATTTTCATTTGTGAGTTTTATTTCAAAATCATTAAAATTTGATTTACTACAGTCAAAAGTCGTTAATTCGGACACCCATAATTCGGAATGATCTATAATCCGGACCTCAAAACTAAAAACTTTCTGCGCATGCGCCGCGTTGACACATGCGCATAAGCGTTTACGCGTGCGCGTAAGATCTTTTACGACTGCGCATATGAGTGTGCCCAAGTGCAGAATACGTTTTCGCGAGCGCGTTTTATGTATAATAGACGTATAAGCTAAAATTATCTAATTATCTATTTCAGTTAATGTTGATGATTGCGTTGTTCCTTAAATTTTCGAATTGGATCCGGCTTATTATTTTTTGCAGGCTGTAAGAGCAATTTTATAAAAGTAAGCTTAAACTTTCGATTATATCAAATAGAATTTCCGATATATATTTGTTAATATGTAAAGGATCTAAAGCGAAAGTATGTTTTGAAATCCGAAATCTGTTTATCAATTTCACGCTGCTCGGCGGGGGGAACGCAACGGCGGGCGCGTAATGAATTGGAAGTTGATTTGTCAGCACTATCCTTATCTTCAGCGCAGATGTTTTATTTTATTTGGCTTATAATTCCTTACCAAATGTAGTATTTCATCTCGATTTGCTCCGTCTTTGATATGATTTAAAACAAGTTTCTCGTCATTATAATTCGCTTCCGATAGCGAAGAAAAGTAACAGAGGTTATTGAAAACGAAAAAATTTCGATTGACAAATTAGTCGGTGTTCTTGCCACAGCAATTATAGGACTTGAACAGCGGAACTTTGTAACTGAACAAGAAATTATGTCTGTTTAATAGAATTAAAGAGAAAGTATTATCACATGAAACGAAGCAAAACTTAAAACAACTTACATTGAAAGAAATGTTTAATAAAGTAAACAAATAAATATTAAGCTTTTTCTTTTTGCAAATTTTGATACCCTTTAGATCATAATTGTTCTTTATTTCATAAATTACGGTTTCATATTTTTAATTTTAGAATTTCTGCATGCCATCTTACGAGATTTAAACTGATGATCTATAATCCGGAAAAATCGATAATCCGGAATCGCCAAAGTCCCGACGAGTCCGGATTAACGACTTTTGACTGTATTGTCATCATCAATTTCGATTTATTATTGTCATCATAATTTACTTTCGGCACAGCATTCCATTTCAACAGTTTCTTTTTGTGGCTATCCAAACAAGCGATTTTTCATATCATCTTCATAAACACTGCATAGAAAATGTCCGCTGCAGATTTTCCGCTCTTCGCATTAATAAAATCTTGTCTTTGACATTTGTGTATCCATTCTTTCGTCAAAAGCAAAACCTCATTTGGATCCTTTGGTCCCATGAAATAAAATATCTCATCCTTTCGTACTTCTGTAAATGCTACGACAAGTTACTACACCGCAAAAAGCCATATTACGTAAATGGTACTTTACAATATAGAATTTAAAATAAAAACTGACTAAAATTACATATATATAAATTATTTTAAATATATACATTATTAGAAAACAGATATATATATGATTAAAATTAATTTACGATATGTAACCTCTAGAAAATCGTCTCGCAGCTGAATGAAACTACAATTTTAAACGCGGAAAATCAGAACAGGTGGCATCACAGTGATGTCAGATGACTGCCTGTTAATTTTCCCCATTAGGCTCGCGTCGGCGAGGAGTCGAACAAAGAAATGAGCTAGCCCTTTCTATTTATCCCTGCCCTAGCTACGACTCTGATCCTAAAGGTCAATTGCACAAAAGAAATTTGTTCTCGAACATTCTAAATGAGGAAACAACCCGCGAAAATCATGACTTAGCAAAATCGACTTCTTTCCCTGCTTCTTTTCACGCTGAATCAAAACTTGGACAAAAATTGCAAATAAAAGGAAAATAAATAATATTCGAAGCTAAATAATATTCTTAGAAGCATCTGTTTTTCCCCAAAATTAAAGCATTAAAATAAAAATAATTCACCTGGTTTTTTTATAACGCGATCAAACAGTTATCTATACAACAGTTTCATAATATAATCGCCTGAAGCGTTGCAACAGAAAAGAATTGGTATGCGACTTTTCGCTACTTTATCACCACTAGCTGATTTGCAAGCTTTAGCTAAACAGGTTCTTTTAGGCATTTTTTTTTCCCCCAGAACAACCTGGACACTTCAGAATTGAAGATCTGATCAGAAGGAGTTGGCGGCAATGATTTCAGCAAATTTTGTTGTTGAGCTTCATCCGAATCAGTAGATGCACATTCTTCTTTCAGTCTTAGATTATGTAAAGAATGTCTTTGTTTCAATCTCTAAAAGTCTCTTTCGAAAAAAGATACCTTTTTTTTTTCATCTGACGAAGTCGACGGTGACTGATTCTTAAGTGTTTTATAAATTTTTAAAGCCTTATTTGTAACAGCATTAGTATCAATTGGAATCCGTTTTTGATTTTGGGCTTCTATCCGTATCACTAATTCCTTTTCTATATTTTCCATTCTAAATCATCTCTTACATATGAAATTGTGCTCTTACTGCTCCAAATTCCAGCTGCTACACTTTTTTAATAGTCTTCATTTTTTCTAATTGTCTTTATTGTGGCTTCATTCAAGGAATAAAATTTAGCAACATCTGTTACTCTTTCTCTATTACGTAGACAATCTAATATTTTAATTTTTGTTTCTAAAATAACTTTTCTTTTTATTTGATGTTCTTTTCAAATCTTTTGGCATTATAAAACTTTTAAAAAAATCTGCGTAAACTATAAAAATGCCACAAAAAATATAAATGTTGAAATCATACTTAATCTAAACATTCAAATATGCAGATAAAAATGATGTAAGCTTTGCTGCTAAAATACTGATACTGCACTCGTTCACATGAAACAAATAGCTTTATTGTTGTGAAATACATATATATATATATATATATACTACGGGGATTCCCCTTTTACAACACGGGAAATCCCTATCCATTTTTGCCAGCAGTATTACCAAAAGAATGAGATTCAAAAATGACATCAAATATACGTATTTGCGCATATGCAGCCGAATATACATTTTTACCAAGTTTTTGAAATCCATTAATTTTTAAACCGTGTAACACGAGTACCGTGTAAATCGAGGGTTAGGTCTAGTGTATTAAACTAGTAAACGAATTTTGGTTAACCGGATGCTCCACATAATCGCCATATACTCGTCTAATCTAAAGGATATAAAAAGGAATAAAATTAGCTGCTGCTTGCTTAAAAATGATTAAAACCAGTTTGGGTAAAAGCATTGCTTTACATGAATTGCTGTGTCTCCCTGTTGATTAATCTTAAAATGCTGAATTTAAAATCAAATTTACGAATATTTAAAGATGATTTAAAAATTATCTAACCTGTTTTGGAGGTGCATGGGCACTCTGTAATGTATTGTATGTTAATTAACCAATTATTATGACTTAATTACTATAACTTCTTCTTTCCGTAGCCTTCATCAAGATGCAAATTAGACTGGAAACTATTTACGTTGAGGGTTTGGAATAGTTTAGATATGTAAAACAGACTTCCACAACCTTCAGTAGTACGGAATAATATTCTGAGAAGAATTGTAAATGCAAAACTGGACTTACTTGTCATACTGCAAATTTTCAGAAGTCCTTAGTTAGCAAACCATTCCAGAAGATAATTTTATCAGACCATTTGCTGCTCACGTGCTGAAAGATCACAACTTCGTAACGTTTGACAGCCAACGTTTACTTGTTTCTTGCGCGGCGTGACTTTTGTTCTCTCGTCGCTTTCCATTAGATTGGCATTAATGCAGTACAACTTCTTATCCAACAGCATATTTAAATAACCTTACATTGATTTCCAAGACTTCGTCTATATATTTGTGACCGATTGCAGAACCTCTATTAGAGAAATATAGCTCGATGAGGTAGGTTTAAATATTCCACCTCAAACGATGAAACTGCTTCCACAGAAATGAGATCTCTCATAAACAAAGAAAAACTGCTGTCGATTCTTCCCAATCAAAAAGCATTTAGAATAACTGTTCAGAAGTATCTAGACACATTGGCAAACAGTATCTTCTTGTCTCTGTTGACGATAACATGCCTATAAACGGGCCGTTTTGTACGATTAAGTGAGTGGGATATAAACCAGATTTTTCTTATATAAAACTCAATCGTTTGAAGCCTTCTTATAGCAAATGAATAGCTGATTTGAATTTCTGTGACAGCCTTCAGGCCTAAAATTTGGTGTGTTGTAATCGCTTCACAGTTATTTCAAGCCAGCATTGGCAGAAAACGGTCTTCGTACGTAATTGTTGTTCTTTGCGTCCCTGACCAGGCTGTCTTCTAACTGATTTCCTGCTTAAAAACAGTTCTAAGTTCTTGATGTAACACTCAGGGATATTCAGATCTTTCCCCTCCTGTCTACAAATTAACCTCTTCTTTTGCACTTCCAATCAATACCTTTGAGGCATAACAAATGAATACTGATCACTAACTTGTCATTAGAAAACCACATTACGCCCAAATTCCAATAGGCTTTATTGTGCGACATCTTTACGTCATCTAATTTGCATATTTCATGCGCTAACATATGCCTAGAAATCTAATTTTGAGGTTAGTTTAAGATAATTAATATAAATAATTACATCATTGGACAGCAGTTAAAAACATTATTCAGTTAGCATACGTTTTTCAAATTATCTTTTAAATTTGACGAGCAGTGAATATTTAATTATCCGAACGAGAATGATCTAGACCTAAACTGAAATTTCATCACTTCATCGAATTTTAAAACTTACATTGAAGAACATACCTTAGCATCTGCTGGATTCCCAGTAATCCAGTGTCAGACACAGAGACTGTTGTTTGTTTATCCTTGTAAAGTATATCTTCTAAAACAGCGCTTCTGCATACTAAAAGAAGTTTGTGTGCACGTATTATGGTGATAGACTCATTACTAGAAATTCGGAACTCTACATCTGTCAAAAAATTATTTTCATATAGCCGTCTAATTGAGCTCTCGATGCTATCCTTCGGATCAGTATGAACATTACCTAAAAAAGTACAAACGAAAATGAATACAAAAGATAACAGATAAAAACTAATTTTAAAATTTCGATTCTTGCACAGTTGTTCTGTATTTGAATGTGTGGTGGTAAACTTAAGTCTGAGATTGATGCATGCAACCAAGTCCATTCCTGTAGTTTTTTTTTTTTTTTTTTTCTTTTTTTATTTGAGTTAGGGATGAAAACCCTTTCTTACATAAATACGTAAAAGCAAACATGATTATAACTTTTCAAATACCATCACACAGTTCACTATAATCCTTTTTCACTGGTACCTGAGGTCCAGAAATTAACCTTACCTTCTGCTTGTAATTTCATTTTAAGACCGGTGTCAATCAAGGACAATTTCAACTTCCCTACTTTGTGCTCACTGTTAATTATTTTCCCGTTCCCCTTTATTTTCGTTATTGCCTGGTTTAATATTATTTTTTTTATTCTAAATTAAATATGACACTGAAATTAGTACAGTCCCAGCCCGCTAATCCAGAGATATTATTTGTTAACTCCTTACACTAAACCTACAAGAAACTTTCTTCTTCTGACGGCAATACTACGCCTCCAAGCTTCTTTCAGCGGCAATTACTCGAGTGCCCTTTTTAGCCTTAAATTTCCTGCAAACTGAACAGTTATTCAAGCACGATTTTCAGTTTGTCTGCCTGGGATGGTCTAATAATATTCTCGAGTTTGGGTGAGTGTATCTGAAACACCAACAAATGAAGCAAGTTCTCGTGTTCTCTTTTAATCAGCAATTTAGTGAATCTAGATTTTCTAAGAATAATCCACGGATGCTTTTCTTGAAACTGAAAATTAGAACGTTGTAATCTACCACCAAGACATATGAATTCTTCTGCTGTTACGATCGGGTTTAGACAATATAGTTGGGAATTGTAACTAAGTGATTCCTTTCTTGTGAATTTAATGTAATTCTTTTCAAACTCACTTCCATGTATAAAATGAATCCAATAGCGTTCAGCACTCGCAAGTTCTTCTGCAGTTCGTGTTCCTTCAAACTTTCTGAAATCCTTTTTTAAAATCTTACAGTTATTAACAAACCGTGGGACGTATGCAGTGATTCGAAGAACTTTAGGTAAGTCGCTGTATCGGTGCAAATTTTACAAGCCATTGACAAGTTCAATATATGTTGGAAAGCAATACAGCTCTTTTTTTCTCTCCTTTTCTGCTTTTAATGTATTAATATAAGCATTCGGTATTTTTCCACTGTTTAGAGTGTCAACTTCTATTAGCCACGAGGGACGTCTCCGCCATGTTTCATCAATAATTACAGAACGTGCACACATACCTCTAGCAAGTTTATCTGCTGAATTCAATTTTCCGTTGCAAAAATTCCAATTTGATGGATTCGACTTTTCTTTGATTTCCAACACTCTGTTGCTGACAAATTACTTCCAACCGTTTGCGACACTTCTAATCCAATACAGACATATCGTTGAATCGTTTAAGTAAATGTCACTTTCGTTCAATGAAGAAAACGCGGAACGTGTGTAATGAGACAATCGTTCGGAAATCAAGTTTCCTAATAGTTATAATAGCCGCAAAGTCATTTTCTTCAATGGAGCTAGACGACATTTTGAAATTATAAAACTTGTCTTACATTTGTCACGTTATCTAATCTTGAAATATGCGACCGCACTCTAAGCTTTCAGGCTTGCGTCAGAGATAAGACTTCCAGCGGCCAAGCGGTTACTAATCCAGCCAAACGGGTTGGCTGCATGCTCATTTTCGTGGTTTTCTCCATGTATAACGCGTATGCGAGCCAGTTTCCCTTAGACAGTACTCCATGAAGGCATCCCTCCCCTCAGGCAGACAGACTTCGTGAGTTTTGTCATAACTAAAAAACCCAACGCTGGGATAAATAAGAGTAATGGGACTGCCACGCGAAAGAAGAATTCAGGAATAGCAGACATATTTAACATTAGGTTTAACTGCAAATTAGATAAATGATCTTTATGATATACTTCAGAAAGTGCGAGATTAATACAGAAAAGCTGCAGAATCAGCTAACATGTAAAGCTGCACTCTTAATAGTCACCTGATACGTTTTCTCTCGTCATGATATTCCTATTCTAAGCGTTTATTTAATGCCGCCCAGCCGGACCCGCACTGTCGTAGCGATGGGCCTGGGCTCGAATCCCAAAGAAGGCACGGTTGTAACTGTTCGTCTCTTCATAGGCGGCAAAGGTGGCCATCCAATAGGCGCTTCCATAATGAAATGGCCACCACTTCCGGCCATTTGTAGTGGTACAAGTCTAATGGTTGAGCGCCCGGTTATTAAAAAACAAGCTTTTTTTTAATTCTTTATGGTTGGAATTTTACCATCGATTTTTAACATACTTCCTGCTATGCAATCAAGTTCAAATCTTGCACACACACTGTTTGTCGAAGGCAATGCAATGTGCTGAAGCATTTTTTCAAAACTCCAGATGTTTTTATTTAATAATTAAACAATTTTTAGCACATACCTTCGTTTAATGACCAAATTTAAAATTTTAGAACTTTACTATTTGCACCATTGAATAGAGCGGAGAAAATTTTTCGAATGAAAATTAGAAGTTAATTTTTTGCGAATTTTCGAATATCGCTTGATTTTTTTTTCGACTATTTGACGTACATGATTTTAAAATTTCAATATATAAAAATGTATTCCTATGCTGTAAGGAAATTTGTAACTACTACTTTTAGGAAATAATATATTAAATATGAACTAATAGGAAATTTCAAACAAACAATTTTCTCTTACAATTTTTATGCTTTTTATTGTTGTATAAGTAAAAAATACTAAAATACCTAAAAATGAAATTTTGAAAGTTTTTGTTTAAACTTCTAAATTGCGCTGCTTTTTTTAAAATTATAGGTGAATATTAAAGCATAATTTTTATAAAGGGATTTTACTTCAATTATATTTCATAATACAGCATAGTGATAAACACTTTTAACACCTTAATAATTTTTATATATTTATTCTGATGTTAAAATTGTATTTTTAACTGTAATAATTAATTATACTAGTATTTTATAGTGATTATTTTTTAAAATTTATTTCAAGTTCCGTATAAGATTTTTTTTATTTACTGTGAATTAAATTGATTCTCTCAAAGGGGCAGTAGCACAGAAAGGCTATTTGTTTCGAAACGGCATTTTGCGCTGTTCAATATACTTGTACGTTTCACTTTGCAAATAGTTGCCGCCAAATATTATCGCCCTGTATTATATTTAAAGAAATTAAATAATGAAGAATCTGCATGAATACATGTATGTTTCTCGCACTGTGAAAAAGGACCGTATCTAGAGCCATCAAATTTTGAATAACGTTAACCTCCACCCGAACATAGGCACCTAGACTGCCGAATTTCGAATTTGTTTTAATCCATTTCATAATTATTAAAACTTTAACGAATTTTTGTTTAACAAACTCAGCGAGTTTAAAACGAGTAATGACAACACTGTACGAAAAATAACATTTTCATCTCCAGCGCGGAAATTCTAAAGCTATGCTGTTTTCAAATATTTTGTGATATTGCTGTTGAATTGAGCTTTATGAGGTTTACATGCGAAGAACATGATATTCAATAAATAAAGGTAACACACAAAACGCTAAAAAAAGTCCCTTTGGGCGTAATATAAGATCTGAGTGCTTCTAGATTCTCTTTCTTTCTTTTTTTCATTATAGTCAGAAAAGTTTATGCTCCTAATTTTATGAATAATTAAAATAAATAATCATCTTATGATCATCTTGTAATGTTAAAAACTAATGATCATATAATCAAATAAATGATCGTCTTGTAGTGTTAGGTTCAATCAATTTTATTTAATTTTACTTTATTTGTACCCAAACGCAAGTTCATAAATTTTGAGTTTAGAGTTTTTACCGTTTTACCAAACTAAAAGATGTTTATACAAGAATTACGCGTGGAAAAAATGAGCAAAATGCAGTAAAAAGTGCTTTAAAGAGATGTATTAAATCTTATTCGAAAACTGTGACTTTCATAATCTCATCACTTAATACAACGTATGACATTTAATAATAAAAACAGTTATGCGATACAAACGTCATAGGTTTCAGTGTTAAAGTAAACTTAGATCGTCTCTACTCCTTCTTGCGGACATGCAGGTGACGCGCGCTCCGCCCACTGGATTACTCTATCTCGTATAAGGTCCATGATTCTTATCACCTTCTGTACAAATAGGTTTACGTTTTAAGAATAAGTAAGTTCAACATTTTTTTAATGTAATCTGTCATTTATAATTCTTTCTAGTTTATAAGTTTATATATATTTTTCTCAGCATTTCAGTTTAAAAGTTGATTTTTTTAAAAAAATTTATTGCGGTTCGTAGTATTATAATCTTTTATGGGACATTAAAAATTAAGCATTAAAATTTATCCGTTATGAAAAGTTGAAATTTGAAAGCTTTATAAAACAAACTCTTCTCCCTCTTTTAAAGCAACAATGATGGAAAATATTCAATAGATGTCTTTTTAGAATGTTATTCATTTTTAAACTCGTTCATGGAGTTTGCCGTTGTGGTCAAAACTTAGCAATCGACTTTTTTCGTTTTAAAAGTTTATTTTCTTAATTTTATTACAGAACATATTATATTTTTATGGCATTTTAAAATCCTAAAACGCAAAAA